GAATAAATGTTGAATTTACGTCTCTTTGGTCATGCCCTTCGTAACAAATGCTCATACAATTCTAATTTTTACGGATTTGGATCTTTTAGAAGATCCAACTATATATTATTCAATTAATTTCTTATAGTCATGATGAACTTTGATAACATAAGTATCAATTACAAGTTACACTGCAAAATCATCTAATTATAATATCTCCTCGAAATCAGAAAATCGTCAAAAGAATAATAATTAACATAAAGGACTATTATATTTACTAATTTTATTTTTCTATTATTTTTATACAAATAACATGAAAATAACAACAGGTAAATCTAAAAGGAAAATAACAATGGAAGAAGCCAGAGGTAAATTTTGATTAAAAGGGTAAACTGGAGTAAAGCTAATCTACCCTAAAATATATAACATTCTATAACAATTGTTGGCATACTATAGTAATACCTTAGAACGAGACATTGCATGCCAATGTTCACAAAAAAAGATGAGAACTTTGTTGCAAAAACACACAACAAAGTTGATATGTAGGAGTTGCCAGATATGCCCACAGTGCATGGATTCTAAAGGCTTACTATTTTTTTTAAGCAATCTCAACAATGAATACAAAAAAATCCAACCATTGCCTGGATCCGCTCATCAAGGTGTTCCTCAGGATCACTTGCCTTTTTGTTAGCTATGCCAATACTCATCCATTGCAGAAATGATTGCTAAACCACATTGCAGTCTGAATAACACCAGCCCCATCACTACAACATACTCCGCTGCCCTCCATCTCCGAAAAATGTCCGAAATATCTGATGTTTTCCAGGCTTTTACGATTTTGATATTTTACATGACAGGTTTTCTTGGTTTGTAAAATATATCTTAATCGTAAAAAAAAATTGGAAATCGTCAGATTTCTCGGACTACTCCAAACGATAACGGAAAGGGGTTGGCTTTTATCAGACTGACTCACAATTTAACTCTCTGTCATGGAAATGCCCCGTTTTCTATCATTACTTTGCCATTTGATGTCTGACATTTGGAAATCTGTAGTCCTTCGTGGGTGTTTGTATTGTAAGAATGTGGTAAATTCTTGTGTCCCTGCTGGGAGACTGTCTCGTCAGAATGTGGTAATTTTTCAGTCTTCAGTTCCGTGTACGTCTCGTTGTCACAGCCGTGGTGGCCGCGGCCCTGCATCTCCTCGAGCAGGTCACACCTAGAACCCTGTACACAGCTGTCTCCCGTCTTGTGCTTCTTGTGTTTGTAACTGGGAACAAAAAAAAAACAGATATTGAAATTATTATTTCAACTAAAAATATTTTATTTCATTTTTAAGATGGAATTGAATGCATAACCCGCTTCAGCAGGAACCTGTTTAGTCCCTCCCTAGCACTAGAATCCCTGAGCCTGGGGCCATGAATTTCACAATTTTGGTAGAGGAAACAATGTTGATTACAATCATACCAACAGTTCAACTGTTTGATGTCCAGGAGTAAAGAGAAGATTTTTAAAGATTGCACTAATTTTAGTGATTTTTGCCCCACCCTCAGACCCCAATGGGGGCAGGGACCATGAAATTCATAAATTTTTTCCCCTTCACCCATAGATGCTATATGCCAAATTTGGTTGAAATTGGTTCAGTGGTTTCGGAGAAGAAGCTAAAAATGTTCAAATGTTAACGCACGACGAACGACGCACGACGACAGATGAAAACAGATAGCAATAGGTCATCTGAGTTTACTCAGGTGACCTAAAAATACTTGCGCTCAAGGAAATGCCTTGTCACATGAATCATGACAAACCATATAAGAAAGACCTAGCAAACCTTTGTAAAGTTATGACCATTTTAAAGTTTAAAGTTCAAAGAACTAAAGTTTGATGAACTTTAGAAGAGTAAGTCAAACTGCAAGGACAAGGTCAATTGGTAATTAAATAAACTAGCTAAGCATATAGTTATGATGAGCAAGAATGGAATTTTGATGTTCGGGTGGAGCTCTATTGATTATAAGTGATAATGCAGCATAATTTTTGAAAATATTCTTCTCTGCTACTGCATGGGAAGCACATAGTTATGCTGAGCAAGAATGCCTCTTCCAAAATTGTGAAATTTATGGCTTTAGGGTTGGGGGATCTGGCTACAGGATCATGAAACATCTTAAGCTTAAAAGTCAAAAAATTCATATTATACTAGAATTTTGACTAAGTCAAGTAGACAAAAATTAAAATATTTTTTAATATTGCTTTACAAAAGTGTAGTTATCTGCAAAATTAGAGATTCTTCCAATAATTAATAAACATTTTACAGGCGATTAAAAATTTGACTTAATTCTACATCTGTTTCATGATCCTGTGACCTGGTGTTACGGCAGGGCTTTAATGATTATATAGTGAAAATACATTAAATCTTTGAAAATCAATTTTGCTCCTGGGTATTAAGCAGATGAACTACCTATTGAGCTATGATGAGCAAGGGCCCTTCTTCCAGTATGGTGAATTTCAATGCCCTGGGTCAGGAATACCATAGAGGGGAGGGGGGCTCTACTTATTACTGAAAATGAATTTATTGTATTGCTCCTTAATTGGTATTAATCAAACATTTTTGTTAAGCAAGGGTGCCTTTTCCAAAATTGTGAAATGTAGGACCTAGGGTCAGGGGTTTATGTGTGGTAGTGGCACTACTGATTATTGCTGAATATTACCGACTAGTTGAAATGCGCTTTTTGTTCCCCTACCCTGCTTATGGGTATTAAGTAACCAAATTAAGAAATTGCTAAGTGTATAGTTATGATGAGAAATGGTGCCTTTTCCAAAACTGTTAATGTCGTGGCATCTAGTTTAAAACATGAACCAAATTCAATCATTGGAAAGTTGTTGCATAATGCTCAGCTAGGTGACATATAGGCCCATATGGGCCTCTTGTCTATATGTTATATTCATTTGACCTAAAACTATGTCAATCAAAACAGGTATGTTTGATGTGAATCGTTTCAAAAATAAGACAGAGAAAATAAAAGAATTAAAACCCCAATCACCCACCCATCTTACCTGTAAACCAACACAGCAATCAAAATCCCCAATAAAAAAACTACAGAAACCGACACCAACACGGGAGGTAACACATCGGAGGTGTTCGGTACAGATGTACTCATAATCAGCCTGTCTTTGGGGGGCACGTTACATTTCTACGCGATCCTCTCTACCTCTCCCTCGGTCAGATTTACCGGGTGTGGGGTCCAGTAGAGCAGCCCCGGGTTCCAAGGAGGGGGACAGGGGGCCAGATTTAACCAGTCGTCCACGGTTAAGTTGGACATGTTGTGAAGTAGGATTATTATCGACCACCTGATGCATTTGTAAGAATTTCCGTGCAGTAAAATCAATAGGAGGATATGAGTAACTCCCTTATTGATAATCCGTATATATTATTGCACGCACTCCCATAACGCAAACCGTGGACTCTGCATATAACTATAATGTGTGAATGACATGAATCCACGTGTTTGTAACTTATCCATTTACATTATGGTATAATCAGTTATATTTTTATTTTTATTTTTTTTTATTTACAAAAAAAAGCTACTCCTAGTTATTGTTCATCAATTACGGAGTTTTATGATGAATACATTTGTACGTATACATGTACATTTTGTTCAATGCATCCGGCTTTTACGAATGTTGCAAATGTTTAAGCTCACCTTAAAGGTACTTGGACACAGATTTGAAATTAATATTTTCTCATTTTTAGGTCTACTGGTCAGAGACCAGAAGAGCTTATGCGATAGTAATGCGTCCGGCGTCCGTTCATCTGTCTGTCTGTCTGTCTGACTGTTTGTCTGTCCGTCTGTCTGTAAACAATTTTTAAAAAAGCTACTCCTCCAACAGTTTTAGTCTGATTTCAATATAACTTGGCACACAAGTAGACTACACTAAGATACATAGAATAGTGCATCGGTTTTTGATTTCGATGAACGGTGTTGCCATGGTTACTAAAAATAGAATTTTCTGTGAAATACCTTTAAAACGCTACTCCTTCTACAGTTTTGGTCTGATTTCAATATAACTTGGCACACAAGTAGACTACACTAAGATACATAGAATAGTGCATCGGTTTTTGATTTCAGTGAACGGTGTTGCCATGTTTACTAATAATAGAATTCTCTGTGAAATTCGTTTAAAACGCTACTCCTTCTACAGTTTTGGTCTGATTTCAATATAACTTGGCATACAAGTAGACAACACTAAGATACATAATTCTTTGTATCGGTTTTTGATTTCGATGAACGGTGTTGCCATGGTTACTTAATATAGATTTTCTATGAAATTCCTTTAAAACGCTACTCCTTCCTCAATTTCGGTCTGATTTCAATATAACTTGGCACACAAGTAGACTACACTAACATACATAGAATAGTATATCGGTTTTTAATTTCGATGAACGGTGTTGCCATGGTTACTTAATATAGAATTTTCTGTGAAATTCATTTAAAACGCTACTCCTTCCTCAACTTTAGTCTGATTTCAATATAACTTGGCACACAAGTAGACTACACTAAAATATATAAAATAGTGCATCGGTTTTTGATTTTGATGAACAGTGTTGCCATTGTTACTAAATATAGAAATGTCTGTGAAATCCCTTTAAAATGCTCCTCCTTCTACAGTTTTGGTCTGATGGCAATGGCTTCTTTTCTCATCCTTTGTTATAAGTACAACCAGTAGAGCTACAGTCTCGACAGAGACTTCTGGTTTCTGTATAATATCACGAATTATAAACCGGTATTTTAATAGCATTTCACACAAAAATTAATTAAAAATCTTATTTTATTTAAAAGTTTTAAAACTTTAAATTTTTTGGCGGGTTTGATTGACACATCCTTGCACTTTCACAAATTTTAACTTTATTCTTAAACCTTAGGAAAAGTGGCAATTTTGACGTGTTTTAAGGAGAAATATTTAAACTTTTATCAAGAAAAATAATTTTATTCAGAGTAAAAATTTTAGAAAGCAAAACACCTTCACAAGTATCGTCATTCCGAACTAAGAGATGCGCACAGAGTTTAGCAAATCGAGCACACTCGTGTTATGTACACAGTTTCTGTAACAGGGCTCGAGTTCTGTTATTGTTTATATTTAGAATTCACCGGGTGCGTTCAATCGTCACAGTCTGCTTACCACAACTGCACTGACTGACAATATATTGTGTGTTTGTTTTGCTTTCGAACGTGTCTACTCTGAATATTCTAGATTATAGTATTAATATTTTTCATTTATACAAAACGAGATTGCCATTTTTCCTAAGGATTAACAATAAAACTAAACTTGTGGAAGTGCCAGGATATGTCAATCAAACCCGCCGAAAAATTTGAAATTTCAATATCTTTTAAACGAAATAAGATTTTTAATTAATTTTTGTGTGAAATGCTATTAAAATATATAAGTGGTAACATTAAAGAGAAAAAATAAATTAAAATCTGTGTCGAAGTACCTTTAATGTACGATGTAATTGTTTTTTTTTATTATAGTGATTTTTGAAATCATCTGTTAAAAATTCCAACCCATATTTTTTCTTTGCAAACACACACGAAAAATAGATAAATATAAAAATTATACATTAATTTTATAACCAATATACGAGTATGCTACCATGAATTGTAGCAAAACATGTTGATATTTAAACATATTGCAATTAACTTTAAGGACAGTTGATACAAACAAACTTTCCTCAAAATCGAGGAAATAAATAAATCCATGTTTACACAAGTAAGTGAAATGAATAATTTTTGTGGCGTAAATTTTATTATTATTCAAAATTTCACGGATCAAATTAAAACAAATGTCTTATATAGAACGGTAATCAAGATCATTCAAACAATACAAAACGGAAATAGAGCAGACATGGACACCGAAAAAAAAAAACATTACAGATGGGATCAGGTGCCGTAGAGGAGTAAGCATCCCCTGTTTTGTTTGAATGATCTTGATTACTGTTCGAATTCTTTATCTCCATATTTGATTTATTAAAGCAATATGAGCTGCATTTGAGAGAAATTACAGTAATTTTGCTGATAAATATGCTATTTTGATAAATATGTATGCAATTTAAACCATTTTAGTTTAATGAGACTGATATTCAGAAATATTATGCTTCCTGTCAGTTTCTCTTTATGTAACCCATACCCATCTATTCTCGCAAAGTGTTCTAATTAAAGATTTATATAGCGCTATACAAGCCGAAATAGTGCACGGCTTCAATTTCTGAAGAAAACCCGACAACGCCCACCGAATTCATATTTTTGTTTTCAGAAGAAAGATATCTTCAAAGGAATGTATATAGTATTATATAAGAAAATCAATATTGTACATGACGACAATGATGTAATTTTGCTTCCATCAAGGCATATAAATAGTTCTTCCGTCTGAGATAAAAAGAATAGAAGTTTATAAAATGTTTTTTTTCTGAATAGAGCATATTTCATAGGAGTCGTAAGCAAATTGAAAGTGGGGGGGGGGGGGGCTTAACCAACAAAAAAGGTAAATCTCAATTTTTAATGTTTGCAAAAAAAAGTGGGGGACTAAGCCCCCTAGCCTCACCCCCGTCCAGACAACTATGTATTTTACTGACAAAGCCAAAAGGATAAGACACAAGTTCTACATCTTAGATCGTCTTTTCCTTATACAAAGTTTTATAAAACTGCCATAAAGTACAATTATTTTCAGTAACAAATCAATTAGTAGTGTCAAAGACTGTAAGCTATCAAAATACAATTCTATATACAAAAATTAAGATTTTTCAGAGAATCTATCACAATCTATAGTATGAATAAAAATTCTACATTTTGTTGATCAGAGAATGAATCAACACCCCCATAACATCAAATGGACATCTATGATGTACAAATTATTGAATGGTATTAATAAAAAACTAATTATAGAATATCTTGCTGTTGTATATTTTCTACAAACAAAAAACAAATGATAGGCATCCTCTATTTGTCCACATGAGCAATTTGGATTGTCTATTAGATTACAGCGAAATAGGTCAGAGTTTAAAATACAACCACCTCTTAGCCTTGTGTGAATAATATTCCAAAATCTCTTTCCAAAAGAGAAATACTTTGGAGGTTGTACAATATTGCTTGATAAACATTTTTAAAACATTTAATGGAAGTTGCCTCCCTTATGTTGAGATAAAATTCATTCCACGTTCTTTGTCTGGAATAAAAGATTTATTAAATAATTCTACATTTAGGCAAGGAATAGTTGGAATAATTTCTAGTAGAGTATTGTGAAATATTTTCTTTAATATCGGGTACAATATTTTTAATATAAGTGGGTGCTAGATTATTCATATTGTGTATTTTGTACATTGTTGCTAGTCATTTGTTCGATTTCTTCTTTTTTCCAAAAATCACCATGTCCAGTATCCAGATACAGTGAATTTTTAGAAGCAATAAGTGTAAGACCAACAAATAATAGAACTTTCTCAACCTTTTTAATGTCTGCTTTTGTTTATCCAGACCAAACTTCAACAGCATATTCCTGTTGTGGACTGATAAAAGAAATATACATCAGGGACACACTATCACTTGAGACACTGAATTTTAGTTTTTCCAAAAAAACAATTTTTTTGTAAGCCTTCTTCACAATGTTATCAATATGATCAGACCAACCCAAATTTGAAGACAATAGTTTCCCAAGATATGTGTGCTGTGTGACATATTCTAACTGACAGTTCTCAAAAATTAAATTTGGAAATTGTTGCACAGCTTTTAAATAAAAAAAATACAGTTTTGGTTTTCTATGGGTTGAATTTCAACAACCATTTCTTCGACCATTCATGTAATATTCTAAGATCATGATTAAGATTTTGCTCAATTAGAGTGATATTTTTTTTAATTGTTTTTTTTCTGTCATTTAAATTGTTAATTACAATATTGTACAAAAAATTTCCGACATCCAACTTGCAACTCATATTGCTTTATACATTGAAGGAAAAATATGCATTCTCTGTAACCGGTGTAAAGACGAATAATGACCCCCATCGAATAATGACCGGGGGGTCATTTTTCAACGACAAAAAATGACCCCCACCCGTAGAAAAAAATCATTTTTTGTAGAAAAAGTGTTCTAGGGGGTCATTATTTTATATGTTAGTCCTATAAAATAATGAC